TCTGGTTACTTAAGCTTCTTCCTGCCTTTTTAGATATATTTTTCAGTTGTTCTTTGTAAATTTCTGCGTTTTTTCTATTTCCACTTTTTGTTGCTCATTTCTGCTTCTTTCAGTCTAATTGGGCAAACATGTGTTTTTTCTTTCTTATGCTAATTTAAGCTTGTTCTAACCTTTCAGCTATCCTTTTAGCATTTTGTTTAGTTAATTTCAGCTGTTTTCACACAAATTTATTTCTGTGACTTTCAGCCTAATTAATTTCTTTTCAGCTTTTTTGTCGCTAGTTTCAGCTTCTTTTGCCATTTCAGCTACTATTTCACTGCTTTATGCTAATTTTACTTTTTTCAGCTAATTCCACACATTTTGTTAGCTCATTTTAGCTCTTTCCACTTAGTTTAAGCTTCTCCCTGCTTTTCCAGCTGTATTTTTCAGCTATTTTTTCCAAATTACATGTTTTTTTTAGCTAATTTCATATTTTTTTGTGCTCATTTCTGCTTATTTAAAACCATTTCGGCAAATATGTGTTTATTTTGCTTTCTTCTGTTAATTTAGGCTTGTTCTTCCATTTAAGCTACTTTTAAGCATATTTTTAGCTAATTTCAGCTGTTTTTCAATAAGTTCTTCTGCAATAAGTATTCATACTGCATTTTCACAGGAAATGCAATTCCTCTCATTATCATTACTGTACTCATGTTTTAATTTTCTCATTTCAACTTGTGTCACTCAAAATCTTTGTTTTTTAAAATTTATTGTCTGTTTCTTGAATCTTTCAGTTTTTTCCTCTCCCTCACCTCCATGAATTCCACAATACATCCTCTGCTTCAGCTGTGGACATCATGAGTTTAATCAAAATGCGTTCAAAGCCACATGGACCAGATGGAGAACAGAAGGTGTACGTAATTCCCTTCCTTAAAAAACATAATCATAACTGACTGTTCTTCTGTGCACTTTACACTTACATTTTGATGAATGCTTATTCATCAAAAAAGTTATGATGGTCCAAATTTTATCCTGTGTATAAAATCATCTGAAGTCAACGTAAAGTCTTAAAGTCAAAGTTCTTACTGAACCCTGAGCTAAATTTTAGCTTTCAGCAATGAATTGTGGCCAATGTGAAACATTCATGTTTTAACATCCATTTATTTTCTATACCTGCTTGATCAGGGTCACATGGTGCTGCTTGTCTTCAACCATCATTGTGTCAAAATTATTTGAACTTTTAGAGAAAAAAAAAAATCAAGTGTTTTTCCAAGATACGAGTCGTACGGTGGCACGAAGACATTTCTAAGCACTTTTTGTTCAAAACAGAACGTCTCCAAAAATCATGCACTGCTCAGCGTGAAACTTTAACCAGAGGTGGGACACAACCCAGCAGACAACCATTACCTCAGTCCTGATGCCAGTCCACGTTCTGCAGTCAGGATTGTTTTTTTCTGCTGCCTTCATTTTCTGCAGCCAATTTTTTTATGTTTAGAGTGGAAATGAAAATAACTTGTAATGTTGGATGTGCACCTGTGTGCATGTTGAATAATGTCAAGGCACAAAATACAAAATGATCAAAGGGAAATCAAATTTTCTTCTCCTTTCATACTGAAAGCTCAATCTTTATCTCTGTCGGCCATCAGAGGTACAAATCCTGTTTTGTCTGAAATGTTGACCTTTGACCTTGAGGTTATAACAAGAAGGAGCAGCAACAGAAACACCAGTTTACAAGTTGCTTCACTGATGAGCAATTACCAAAAAGGTAAGGTGTTTCTTTTGGATTCATTCATGGAGAACTTTGGAACCTTCAAAATATATAAAGAAAGGTTTGACAATTCACACAAATATAATATTGTTTTATTGTTAATGATAATCTTGAGCATGTCAATTGTAAACTTTTCCAACTAGTATTCTAGTCTCTGCTGCCCTCTGCTGGTAGGAAGAGGATACGTTTTGAATGAATTGTTAAGAACAAGGGAAATGTATTTAATTAAAAACAGTCATTACTATTATAAAACAACACCTGTTATATCAAGCCATAACTTTATATATATTTTTTTATTTTATTAGTTACATTTGTTATCCAGCAGTCACCAAATCAGTCACAACAATAATTTACATTTCTTAATCTTTCACAATCTTCTGACAATGAACAATGCAAAATATGCAGATTACAGTCGAACAACAAATATGGGTGTTGTGCTGAATTAGGTTGTATCTTTCGACGACTGTGTTTGAGCAATTTAGGCACCTGGAATGATTTGTACTAAAAGATATTTTTTTAGTTATGAGACCTAGACAATCAATTAAAGCTAAAAAAAAAAAAAAAGACACCTTAAGTTGAGCACAACCAAATCTATGAGGTAAAAGATGTCACTAACTAAGACACTTAAGAAAATAAGAAAATTAATTGGACTTAATTTTTTTTTAAAAAGATCGAAAATGGAGCTAAACAGAAAAGCTGAAGTTATAAAAAGAAAACACTAGAATATTTAAAAAAAAAACACAAGAAAAAAATGTATATTACTCAGAATATTCATCCATTATTTTTACCCGCTTCTTCCTTTTCGGGTCGCGGGTGTCACTGGTGCTCATACCCAGCCATCACTGTGTGTGTGTGTGTGTGGGGGGGGGGGGGGGGGACACCCTGGACAGGTCTCCAGTCCATCACAGACAAACAAACATTCACTCTCTCACTCAAGTTAAAATAAATGTATTAATGGTTTACATTTTAATATACAAATTATTAAATCATATTTTTAAACAGGATCAGATGAAACACAAGTTCATATTAAAGTCATAGACTGAACAATCTTTCACTTTAAGCTAAAATCTTCAGGACTTGCTGCACTTGCTTAGTCCCTCACTTGTGGACTTTAACTTGTGTTATCATCCTTTGCTGCCACCAAACCAGAATCTTCGTGGAGTTGTGGTAAATCGTCTCCTTCACCTCAAGTTCGTGGTTTCCTTTTTTTTTATGCACAAGAGTTCAGCGTTAAGCTCTGTTGCGTTCCCATTAACAGCGCCCTTTTGCTTTCTGCATCGCTTTCTTCGTTCAACATTCGTTGCATTTCCGACGAGCTGATTTTTCAATTTCTTGATTTCTTTTGTTTGTTTTGCAACTTGTTTTCTCAGCATTGCCCTTTCAGTTCGTAAATCTTCAATTTGTTTGATTTTTCTCTTCAAAGATTGGTTTAGAGTTCTGAGTGAATCGGTGTCCAACAAATATCTGTCAAACTGCTCTTTTAGTTTCCTGTTATGAGCCACAGACTTTTGTAGGGACAGTCTGCGTTTTGCACACTTCAAACAATCAGTTCTCAACTTCTTAGGTGGCGGTACAGATCTAACAGGGGTACAATCGCCACTGTCCAGTTTAGGCTCACTGTTAGCTTTGGGTGTACTTAATACACCTGGGCCCGCCTCAGCCTGGACCTCCTCAAAACAAATTTTAAAATCCATATTCAAAAACGTCATAATATTTTTCCCATCACGCTTAAGGTTACCAGATTTCTTTTTAGTAATTTCATTCACAAGCCTGTGAACAGCACGGTATAGACCGTGACGATTGATGACATTATTTTCTCCAACAAGTTGATTTTTTTCAGCTATATTACTCAGTGTATTAACAACTGAGTATATATCCTGTGCCTTATGGTGCAGGAAAAAAACAAGTCCCTTGGGTATACTATTCTTAGTTGGGCCTTTAAGTTCATAGGTGTCCTCAGTGCATATTTCCCCAAACGTGTCGACAAATCGCCAGAAATCTGCAGCAGAAGATATAAGAGAGTCATCCATGGTAAGCCTGAAAGAAAAAGAAAAAAGCAAGATGAGCCCTGGGTCAAAGCGGAAAAATAAAATATAAATAAACATTATGTTTAATCCTGTTTACCAGCACTAAATTATTAATCTAATCAGTTCTTCAGTAAAAAAAAAAAAACACCCTATCCAAATGAAGTGTGACATGCTGGCACGCATTTTTAAGGTAAAAACTAGAGATAAAAACTTGCTCATCCTCATCAAAACCTGATCCTACTCATCATAAAACAAAATCAGCAACAATTAAAATGTAATATACATTCAATAATATGTTACTCGTGGTTATTTATCAAAATAATGGCATTCTGGGCGTGGAAAAACTGGCGTAAAATCTTACGTGAAACTTTACGTTAAAATCACGAACCGCGTGTCCTCAAAAGACCGCAGCGTTGCTGATGCTGTAAAGCCCATCAAATAGATTTATAGGTTTAGGTTTATATTTGTCATATGCACATCAGCACAAGGTCAACAATGCAATGAAATGCTCAGGACGACAAAAACCGTCTCGACTCGCCAAAACAACGCCAAAACAACAAAAACAACAACAACACACAAAAACAAGGAGCCAAAAGTGAAAAAAAGAAATGCATCTACAGCAGCATGGTGCAAGAAAAGGGGCATTAGCAATACATGGTGATCCCGTTTGCAGCATGGCACCATACTGTTAGCAGAACAAATCTCGTTGTATTTAAAGAGTAGAACCTGTAGAAGGTGGGAGCTTTAAAATGTGGGTTGAAACTCACCTTGTTTTTGAAAAAAACGACAGCTTAGTGAAAACTTGGTAGAAATTGATCCGGAGAAGGTCTTTCAGGTCTCTCTTATGAATACTCGAGCTTTGGGTTAACCCTGAGTTAACCCTGTCTAAATAAAGGTTGAATGGGAAAATAAAAACAGAACATTAAAATCATAGAAAATGACAATGACGTCATCAGGATATGCCGTACGGTAACGCGGGAGTTTCCGATTTCTTCCGTACTCCTCCGAAAAACGTTTCGCTTTTCTACTTTCAGCCTGTCACACACCTACAGTCTGGTTCATATAGGTATGTTGTTATTTTTGTATGCATGACATGAAAAGTAAGACTTTTTTTTTTATCAGATTGCATTCACGCATAGAAGTGCCACTTCCGAGGTAACTAGAACGCAACATCAACCATTGACCCGGAACCGGAAACTAAACATAAAACGTAAACAGCTAAAAGCTGTTCGTTTCTGAAAGATGGTGTACGTGTCCAACGGTGAGTGGATTGTAATAATTTTACAAATGTTTTATTAATATTGGAGTAAATATGTTTAGTTATGGCAAAATATATGTAAAACATTTGGAAACGTACCAAAACAAGGATATGTAACGGTTAAAGTGCATCAGTCCACATCTAGCTGATTAGCTTGTTAGCTTAGCCTGTTTGAAAAAATAAATATTGTTTGAAACATTAGACAGTGAGATGTTTCCTTAAAATACTTATAGCTTCAACGATCATCTTTTTTTAGTCGAATTGGTGAATAATTTGTCTCCCCAAAGATGTTTGGGGACAGTGTTTTTATCGTTTAATAATTTGATAGATTTTATAAATTACGATCACCTTAAGAGCAAAGTTATAGCGTGAACTGCTAATAAGCTTTTTCAGAAGTTGTGCTGACACAACTGAGTTGATTTTGACCACTAATTTCTGCTGTTTCACTCTTAACCCTGTGTGTCTCACAGGTCAGGTCCTGGACAGCAGGGCCCAGTCCACATGGAACCTGTCTTTCCTGGTTGATCTTTTCTGGGATGCAGTGGAGTTTATTGGTCTCTTGTGAGTGTAACAACTATCCATCCATCCATTATCTTTACCCGCTTATTCCATTTTGGGTCACGGGGGTCGCTGGTGCCCATGTCCAGCATTCACTGTGCGAGGGGCGGGGTACACCCTGGACGGGTCGCAAGTCCATCACAGGGCCACATAGAGACAAACGAGACAAACAACCATTCACTCTCTCACTCACACCTAGGGACAATTTAGAGTTACCAATCAGCCTAACTTGCATGTTTTTGGTCTGTGGGAGGAAACCGGAGCACCCGGAGAAAACCCACGCATGCACGGAGAGAACATGCAAACTCCACCCAGAAAGGCCCGTGTAATAACTAACCATTTGCTATTAAAGACATGTTTGCTTGCTGAAGGTTCATAGTTTACATATGTATGAATTATTGTTCTCATTTTTTATGTACAAGTTGTTTTTTTTATGTAAGTTCGGACTTCATTGAGCTATTTCTAAACTGTTTTGTTGCTAAAATGTTGTTTATAAGAAATCTTAGCTACCAGCCACATTCAGGCCTATGTTCGGGTTCATTTAACCTACTATTGGCATCTTAACTTAAGATAAAAACACCATTTTGTCTGTATTCTGTTGTTAAATGTTTCTTTTTCTCAATATGACATTGTGTAAATTGACCTTATTTTTGTGTTTTTACCAGTTTTAAGACACTAATTCACCCTGACCTGACAAAGAATAGAAACAGTGCTATGTCAGGCTTCAGTGATGGCAGAGGGTAAGTACCAGAAGTACACTCATTTCTGTCATATTCAAACTAAGAACATGCCTTACACGTTGCATTTGCATACCTGCCACATTTGATGGTGGCAATGAGGGGCACCTGTATAAATTTGCGAGTGCCAGTGATGCGAAACAGTCTTTTCTACACACTGAGCGTGACTGGTCTTCATGTGTGTAGACCTGATTTCGGGACAGGTTACATAAATATACATGAAGTACACACATAAAGACCATTCACAAGAATCTGCCTCAAGTTGTCTCCTCATCGTGATTTTATATGCTTATCAGTTCAGTTGAGTTCACAGACTCTGAGGGGTCCTTGGAGCCAGCTGCATGTTGAAGCCTCACTCGGCTCCTCACCCAGCTCTCTCTGCTAACCCAAACATATGATTCATGGGCAGAGTTAACATTCTCCATAGTATAGCTGTATACTATAGCCAAGCCATAATAGTAATAAAAGCATCTATAACCTTTGACCAAAAATTCCCTAACAACCTCCACCACAAGCACACACCATCACAATCCCTCAATCAATATTTAATCTAATAAGCAGATTTTCAACCTAATAAGTTATGGTTGATGGCTGAATCAGTTAATGAGCATATCTGAACTTTAACAACAACATTTTTATCCACTATTTTCCAAGCGTGTTACTGATTTATTTTTATATACAAACTCACTTTGCATGACTGTAACTTTGTGATGGGTTGTGCTATATTAGCTCTATTCCAACAGTTTATGAAAGCTGAGAAATTGTGCTTTGCATAATAACAATATAGGCTTAATTTTCCTTGGGGGCAGTGGTGGCGCAGAGGTTAGAGAAAGCGAGCCTGTGCTGGGAAGGTCGCCGGTTTGAACACACACCCCCTCCCGCAGACAGACAACATCAAAATGTGGGTGGGAAAGGTGAAACACCCACACCTGCCTCCTCCCTCATTTGTCCACTCTGGGCCTTGAGCAAAACTTTTAACCCCCGCCATCTGCTCCTCCGTGTGCCCTAGATGGCAGTTGTCTGCTCCACGCTGTAGTAGCTCTAGTAGCTCGGTGGTCTGTGGTTGTGTCAGGAAGTGCATCCGGTGTGAAAACAATTGGCAAGTCTTTGTGCGAGCAAGTTCCCTGTGGCGACCCCTGAAGAAGGGAGCAGCCAAAAGAAATAAAAATTTAGTCTTATTACAGTAACCTCCATCCTGGTGTTGCAGGGGGCCTGCAAAATACTCCCTCTATATTCCTCCTCCCACACAGACACAGCATGTACAGGTGAGCCCAGCCAGCACTTGGCAAATGCGTGACATTTGGGTGTCCCGCTCCTCCGTTTACAGGAAGTGGGACAGGGCAGCAAAATCCGGGACTAACCCGCCCAAATTGCCATTTTCTAAGAACTCATTAAATTTAGGTATTTACATTAAGGCGCACGTCAGTTCTCAAAGTCAATGTGATGTCATTCGTCACGTGAAGCATAACCACCATTTTTGGTTAGAAGGAAAATACTGTGGTGTTGTGGAAAACTGATGGACAAGTGCAGTAGATAATTTAGTTTTTGTCATTTACTAGTACATTTAGAGATGTTTTCTAATAACTTACAGCTGTAAAGCTTTTCATGAAATATTAATATTCAATATACCAGTATTCAGCATCCTGCTGTTTATAAGATAATTTATTAAATTGAAATATTTATAATAAATATAAATGGCTTTCAAGAATCTAAGAAGATATATATATATACATACTTAAATAACAAAAAAAATACTGTTGATTAAAATGTGCCAGATGTATGTGTGCGTGCTACGTGGTGATCAAAGTGTGCCTACAGCAGCTTTATATTTTTCCCTTCTCAGTTTTGCACACACAAAAAATTTACCGGTAATATTTTCAGTTTGGATGTTTCTTTTTGTTAGGCGTGCAATCATTCACACAGCAGCGACTCACTGTGTTGTGAACTTCCCCCCCAAGCCGATATGTCAGCCTCTTTCTACAGTATGTTCACGTGCCAGGATGTCCCAACTTCAAGAACAGTGTGATATTTGTCTCAACCATCAACTCCTCGTACAAACCATTTAAAACTTAACTAATTTATCAACTAAGAGCTTTAGACAGGAATTAATTTAGGTTAACTTATGCAGTAAACACGTCTCGTTTATACATTTATGCAATTTTCTTCCTCCTCACGCTTGTTTGCTTGTTGTGCACCTGCAGCCCTCCAGGCCCCCCTGATGGTAGAAGGCGGATGGGAAGAATAAGTCATGCTGCAGGTCCCAGCCCTCCACCAATGGGTGGTGGAGGATGAGGAAGGTATGGAAAAACGTTTTCCTATTAACAGTAATTCATACTTTAACTTGTGGAACCAGTGGTTTTAGTTTGTTTGTTTGTTCTTTTCCTACACGGCATTTCTTTGAATTTTAAAAGTCAGTGTAGAAAATTGTAGATTTTAGTTCAATAATCCCAAATACATCTCAAGAAAACTTAATGGGTATTTCACAATACGTAAATATTATTACTGTATCACCCTCTTCTTCTTCTTTTTTTCTCCAGGTAAACGCCTACACTAGCTTTGTAGGCGCTGGGTTTTGCAGAGCCTGTTTCCTGACAACGTCTGTTAAAGCCCCTCTTCATCAGCTGCCACTGTTACTAACAGTTTTTTGAGACCTTTCTGGGAATACCTACACATAGGGGCCAGAATGGTTGATACAGCAGCTGTCTGCATCCCCCTCCACACACCTTTTTTTTTTTTTTTTTTGCTTCTGCTTTTGCACTTGAGTGATTTCAGACTCAGAAATATCTTCCAACATTCTGGTTAGTCTTAGCTCCTTGGAGTCTTCACTTGGTTTGTATTTGTGTCATTCAGTTTAAATAAAACTATTAAGTTTAATTTGTCTTTTTACTGTTCTGACTATATTTTAGCTTTGCTGTATATGGAGAAGTTACAAATTAAGAGTTAAACGCTTGTTTCTACTCAGTTATTTTAATCATAATTCAATGTTAAAACAAATATATAAAATGTTGGAACAATAATGTAGTACACGATTTAGCTAATTTTATTTTTTCCTATTAAATAAACAGTTGTTTATCCAAGTGATCCTGGCTTGTTGTTTGCAGTTTCCTCTCAAACATGAGAACATTACAGAAGTATTTACACAACATTAACAATAAAGCTGCCTCTCAGAGACTTAACAAGAAACAATGACTCTTTCTTGGTTATGAACAACTACAAAATGCTTAACTTCTCAACGCTGTTTTATATACAATTTAAAATTTACCAGAGTTTTATATTGACTTCACAACATCACCAGGTGAGTTTCAGCTTCTGGCAAACTGAGGGGGGGGGGGGGGCAGAAAGGGGCTTCACCAGACAAAAGCTGCTCTTTCTCTGAGCATTCTGACACCAAAACGCTGCCACTCCCTCTGATGGATCCACATCTCCTGCGTTGTGTCCAGACAAGCAAGCACGGCTCCCCCCTTCCAGGATATCAGCCTGGGGTCCATGTCCTTCAGCACACAACAAAATACATCAATGAGTTTAAAGTGTTTAGACATTTATTCAATATGTGCAGTGGTGCATAAAGTTCTTGACCCCTTCCAATATTTCCTAAATTTCTCTACTAATACGACTTAATTTATTGAACTATTTTAAATAGGTTTAAAAAAAAACTATTAGAAAATGCATAAGATATGAATCGATCCGTTTTAAAAGTTTGAAACTGCGTGTTTTTGTTTAGGGTCCAGTGTCAATGAGATGGCAAACAAATGTGTTTTATTTAAAGATTAGAGAAACATCAAAAGTCTGAAATGAATAATGACATAATGCAATGTTGTTTCTTCTGATGATTCCAGAAAAAAAAAAGATTAAACCAACTAGAGAAATCCTAACAACAAAGTCCATGCTCAATAATCCAGGTATACAATCCCAACATTTTTCAGTCAGGTCATCTGGACAGTTTCTTTTTTTTTTGTGCTGAAACATTTCACCTTCGATCCGGAAGACTTCATCAGTCAAGGAAACGCAACAAAACTGATTCTCCCCCCAACAGCTCACTCCAAAGTAGAACAAACCAGTTATGTTGGTGCTAAGATGGTGTTTTGGCATGCCCCCTCCTCCATTGCCGGCCCTTTTCCTTGTTCGTGCCAAAACGCCATCTTCGCACCAACATAACTGGTTTGTTCCACTTTGGAGTAAGCTGTTGGGGGAAGAATCAGTTTTGTGTTGTGTGTCCTTGACTGATGAAGCCTTCCGGATCGAAGGTGAAACGTTTCAGAAAAAAAAAAAGAAACTCCAGATGACCTGACTGAAAAATGTTAGAGAAATACTAAAAAAAATTATTTTGGCTGACGAGTAAAACTACAATCTGTTCCAGCCTGTTTGTAAAACGTGATAGATTTATGCCTCAGATCTGTTACGCCAAATTTGGGCCTGGAGAAAAAGTTAACGGAACAAAAAAAAGTGTGTGAAGATGAATATCAGTTAAATCTCAAGAAAAAGTGAGTCTAGTAAGAAAGCAACCATAGGCCCATCTGATCAAAGACTGGATAAATAATAAATTTTATTATTATTGCAATAAAAATGTTTCCCTGTATTCAGTTTATTCGAAGGCCTCATACTGAAAGAAGAAGTTCAAATACAGTACGTCTGGTACACATATGTAACACTGGATCATCCTCAATAAAACTCGCTTGAAGCTTAAAGTCAAACATTCAAATTTTCTACAACTTCATAAACTCCCACATATTTTCAGTAAGTTTTATGCAGCACTTAATATAAGACAAACTAATTTAAAAACATCCTATCTTGATGGATACAATAACTTACGTTACCTTAGGTCGTGTGATAACTTCCACATTATCAACCAGCCTTCTGAAGGAGGGCGGCATCTTGTTGATGATGCGATGAAGCAGAAATTCCTGAGCACCGTGAAACATCAGGCCCCCTCCTACAACCAGGATGGAGCTGTACATCTTCCGTTTGGTCTCATCTGATCCTGTTGGGGGGGATAAAACACTTTCTCTTTGATTTCTGTTTTGTGAACCACGAGGACTTGTCTTGATACTAATTTCTTTTGGAATTTTGTTTCTGTTTCACTGCACCATTCACTTCCTTACCACAGCAGTCAATGCTATGCAGGATTGCTTTGTCCAGTCCCAGCGCTTTGCTTTCAAACTGGCTAATGATGGCGGTTTTCCTGGAGGAGTGGGTCGACAGAGGCTCTTCCACTTCTCCTGCCTCCATCAGACTCTCCCCCTGGGCAGGCCCTAGTTCCATGTCGCCATGCATCATTCCACCTCCTCCTGCAATGGTGCCAGCAACACTCCCACAGCCCCTGGGCATATCAGACACCTCCCCCATCCTTCCCTGACAGCTCACCTCGCCCTCCAAACATCCACCTGGTCTGGAAACAGCCTTCCGGTCTGCAGCAGATTTGGAGGACTGTTGGAGAAAATTACGACAGTAAAATAACCATCAATCTATGATATGAATAAATTAAATTTCATTCAGTGGGCGGATATATTTTCTTACCTGATCCTGTTTGTTCTGTGTGGCCAGCAGGTAATGTTCATTGTGAGGATCTTCTGAGTCACCTTGGGAACGGTGCTGAAGTGATGTCATCTTCTGACCAACAATGCCAAATGTGGCTGAGTAGAAAAGACCCATGGGTGCCTTCAGAGGAGACCGACACAAGCCATAAAACATGATGAAAACATAGTGTCATGAATAAAGTTTATTTTGGAACATTTAAAGACTAAATAACGTATAAAACCATTACAGAACTATTTATTTTATCATGGTTTATAAAAGACACCTGTAGTTTTTCATCCCCAAGTCGAATCTGGTACAGAAGAGCTGGGGCTTCTGGGAAACGAGTCTGAAATTCATGATCTTGTAATCCAGATATGTCCTGTTGAAAACAAATAAATGAATGATTTAAAAACTAAAACTCTGAAATCAGTTGTTGTAAGCAGCTCCAAATGACTACTAACCACCACTTTGAAGGAATAAAGTTAAAATAAAGTTCCTCAGAAACTTAAAACATTTCAGGCTGCCTCCATCAGCCAGCACACACCTGATCTAGATGGCAGAAGGTCTCTTTTAGATGCTGCAAGAGCTGACAGTCGAGTCTGCTGGTCAACTGACAGTCTCTGTACGGAAAACCGGCTCTCTGCAGCAACCAGAAGAAAGTTCTGGTCACATCTGAACCTCCGTAAGCCAAACACAACCTGCGGAGCCAAAAACAGACAGAACGCATCATACATGTGCAAAACGTAAGACATTAACAAGCATTGTTTTTAAAACTTTGTTGTTAGGAATGCTGTTTCCACTCGTCCTGTGCGAGCAGTAATGCTAGGGTTAGTTTGAGTCTTTTTATAGAAACAAGTTTAAATAACTCACTCACCAAAAAGAACTGTTTTTGAGACATTTGATCAATTTGAGTCACATGCACACACACAAGCTCTACTTCGAACCCTACTGATTCATGCTGCTAATGCCACTGATTTGAAACTGGATGAATTTACCATTTTTTGTGAAGAATACATGAAATGTTTCAGACAATCACTACTTTAGGATTGTCACAGCAGGTGGCAAAGGTGGGAGTGGGGGAGCAGTTGGGAAAAAAAACTGTACCAGTGCTTTTCTCACAGGGTTAATGCAGCAATTAGCTTGATATTTGATAACTACCGCTAGCTGAATCAGTGAGTTAATAGGTATTTAGAGAAGATAATTCATGACCAACAATTCAGTAAAATGACTCTTTGTTCTGGACTCACAAATCACTAGCGAGCAGTGCCTACCGTGAGTTCCGATGGGACACTCCATCCTCTACACAGCAGATGCTGGTCTTCTGGTCACCTACATCCACTACACAAGCACTGCTTAACCCACTGCCAAATGTAGCACACACCGACTCCTGGTGCACAATAATTGCTACACACACATACACAGAAGATGGAAAGTCACTTGACACCAAGCAAAGTAGATTGTAAGTCACACCAAAGCCTGCTGAACTGGTTAAGACATGGTAATATAATAAGAGTATTAGTTTATATGTTGTTGTTTTGCATAAAGTCATATGTATTGTGCAATACCTGAAAAGCCCATATTAAGCAGCAGCATGTTGACAATTTCCTTTATGTGCTGTCTGTTGTAGATGTCAGGAACCAACAGGATGCATCTGTAATACTGAAGGTCAGTAATGATAAGAAAGAATTCAAGCAAAGCAATATTGTAATAAAAGTATTTCCACTTTTTTTTTTATTGATAGACTAGATTTTTTTTTCCAGATTTAATGAGTCAAGCTCATTATATTTTAAGCAACTCTTACAACATCCACAGATGTTCTGCTGTTTCAAAAATCTTCTATTATAAACCTGCTTTTCTGTTCTTTTGACCTATATTTCTAGCTCAAAAATATACCAACGAAGGGAAAAAAGTAAAAAGACTTCTCAAACCTTTAAATCTTTCAGGGGGATCTCCAGATGCTTCTGAATGATGTAGCTCCAGATTGTTTCCAGATCAGCCAGAACTGCGGTCAGTGAGCCTCCAGAACCTGAGTGTCTGTTGAGCTGACCTCTGACAATCGGCCAGTGGATGTTGTAACAGTCTGACGGGTTCACATAAACAGCCTGAACGACAGCACGAGAGGGTGAATTTAAAAAAAAAAAAAAAAATGCATCAAGCAGATAAAAAATGTAGTTGTGTTTTTTTACACTTGTACTAACCTCATCTCCGACCAGATAAGGAGGATGGTGGCTTGTGTTTGTCCACTTCACCCTAGAGCTGCTGTCGAGTATGGCTGGACGGATCTGACAATTATACGCTCTGGCCTTGACACACAACCACTGGTGTTACTAAAAACACTTTAATGCACAATCAAAGAAAATGCTCCTTCTCACAGACTTAGAAACCACCTTTACACCTACAAACTCTGTCCTATTTGCTATAACATGTCAAGTACATTGATCATTTGTTACCATAAGAGAGAACAGAGTTGTTGCTCTGTTGAAGATTGACTTGTAGTGACTCTCGTCTCAAACAAACCTGTTCAGCAGACGCAGGACTCCTTCGGACACCATTTGACATCTTCTTTGACCAGATGGCCTGATCTACCATTTTAAGTCCATTCTGTCTCTGCTCATTACTCTCTGGTTTCTGATGGACATGAAGACAGTCAGTGAGGATAAATAAACATATTACACCGATGGGAACTTTTGTTTGTAAATATCAACATTTCAGAAGCTGTCATTTCAATATCTGATAAAAAATAAAAAATAAAAAGTGACTTACGTTTAGACCTTCTCTCAGCAGCCATGCATCTTCAAATCTGGGCTGCCCACTTTGTTTATGTCTGCGTGCAATTACATGAGGGATGGTGACCGGCAGAGTGTCTGTTGCTCGGCCAATGCGAAGCGTTCTTGAGCCGGGATGGATCACAATAACAAAATTACTCTGTATTTGCTGTCAAAGAGAAAACAAAATGTAAGTTTTGGCATAAACAAAATAAAATGAGTATTGTTGGACACAGTGATCAAGGGAGGTGTTGAATGAGTCTACGAACACATCATCGCAGCACTTGTTAAAAGCAAAACTGCACCACAGTTCTGGGAAATCTAATGTAGCGTAGTTTATGTAAAGTCAAGGACTAGTAAACTATAGGACCCGTAATAGGAGGCAAAAGTTAGTTAAATCATCTTTATATTCATAAAATTATGTACCTTTCTGTCCTATGGAGGCAGGCTGATCGATCAATACATAGCCAATACATTTCAACATTTACATTTGAGTTTTTATTTTAATCTGGTGGTCGAACTTTGCTCAGTGTCTGCAAACCTTGCAATTGTAAAACTAAGAACACTTTTAAACACATGGTGATGAAACTGAGCTCTGTGTACCCTTGCAATATAAAATAGATGTAGCCTTAAAACAACACATTTTAAGTTACAGGCAGTTAATACTGCATTTTTGTTAATGTTTGAGAAGAAAATAAGTAAACACCGAGCCTCCCGTCTCACCTCCTGAAGAGGTTCAGGAATGGCCGCAGGAGCTATGGGTCTTTTCACTCCGCGCTGCTGCTCCTTCTCTTTCTCCTTGTCCCGCTCCTTTTCTTTCTCCTTTCCGTTTTCTTGTTCTTTCTCAGCCTGAGTCATAGTTACTGTTGACGATTCTCCGCTAAATTATCATAAAAACAGCGACGTATCAAGCTGCTGGTGCTATGTGCATCAAATTTAACAACCGTCTTCTCCTCGTTTTCCATCTAAGATTTTACTTCCGTGTTTTTGTCACGTGGTACAAAATAAAGGTTTCTATTGGTCAAAGTGTATGTACGAATTTTATTTGACAAGATTTAATTTTCCCTAAAGTATTCAATTCA